AGGGGAAAGGCGGCGGGAGAAGCACCCGGGAACGGCGCCCACCGAGGACGCGCCCCGGGAAAGCAACACCACCGGCGGCGAAGGGAAAGAACGAAAGGCCACAAATCAAAGGGGGGGGGGGGGTGTTGTGCCATTGTGTGTTGCGTGTTGTGCGGTTTGGAAATAACTTCTCGACTGGTTCAAGGGTGGGCGACGGCTAACACCACACTTCTTGATAAACTGCGGAGAGAGATAGGAAGTGGTAGACGCCCGAGGGTGGGCGACGGCTAACACCACACTTCTCCCCTAAAATCCCTGTGTGGTGGCGGCGTACCGTCCTAAAGAAAAAAGAAAGAAAGAAAACAGACACGCCAAACGAGGGATGGGACGAGGACAGGGTCCCCACCTGCACGAGCAGGATTTTGGAAGAACGATCAGGGGGACAGGTGGGGCTCTCCTGCTCCTGACAAGGGACACGACAGGCTCGCAGCGCGGTGCGCGGTGGACTCCCACATCCACTGGCGGTCTCATCTCAGTCTAGCGACCTGCCTCCAGCTTGTCGCTGGCAGTCTCTCGCAACCACAGGCACACTGACACAGGGGTGGCAGGGGCGGCGGCACGAGTCTCCCACATACTATGCGGGCCTCACTAGAGGTGCGGCCTGTGCGTGTCCTCGCCCTTGAGGGGGGAGGGGAAGGGGCTGTGTGTCTGTGCATGTGTGTGTGTGTGTGTGTGTGTGTGTGTGTGTGTGTGTGTGTGTGTGTGTGTGTGTGTGTGTGTGTGCGTGTGCGTGTGCGTGTGCGTGTGCGAGCCGCCCTGAACGCCACGAGCGCGCCGCGAGCGCCGTAGCGCCGGCGAGCGCCGTCGGCAGCGCGCGACCGCCACCCAAAAGCGGAGGTACATCAGGAGCCGCAGCCGGCCTGCTCTATCAGCCCCGCAGCCGCGGTGGCGTGACCGGACCGCGGTCGCTCCAGGCGCCTTTTGGCCCCGGTTCGAATCGCGGTTGGCGCGCGCCCTCGCGGAGCGACGCGTGGCGCGCGACGCGCGCGCGTGCGCGTGCGCGCCCAGCCGAGCCCTAGGCCGTATGCCGTCTGCCGTCTGCCGTCGGCCGTCGGCCGTCGGCCGTCGGCCGCCGCCGCCGCCGTAGCGGCGGCGAGCGCTCGCCCTTTGCGCGACGCGCAGTGTGGACGCGCGCCGCCCAGCGCCGGACGTGCCGGAGCCGGTCCGGCGCGCGCGCGGGCGGCCAGCGCCTGTCTGCTGTGAGAGAGAGTTGTGTTGTCTAAAGTAACCGTCCTCCCATCCCTCCCTTGGGTTGTCTGTTTTCTTTCTTTTAAGACGAGGACTTGTGTGTGTGTGTGTGTGTGACAAAACTTCTGTGATGCCATGCGTGACCTAGGCTAGTAGTGTCCCCAGCTATGGGCGTGTCCACGTTGGAGCCAGGTGTGGTGTGGGCGCGAGAATAGCTCCGCCGTTCATGGAGGCAACCGATGCGAGTCGACTGGTGTGTGTCGTCGTGGTTTCGTATCAAGAATACTCACTCACTCACACGAGGACTTGTTGTGTGTTGTGTGTTGTGGTGGTGTGCGGTGTGCGGGGTGTTGTGTGTGTTGTGCATTGTGTGTTGCGCGTGTTGTGCGGTTTGGAAATAACTTCTCGACTGGTTCAAGGGTGGGCGACGGCTAGCGCACCACACCCCTCTCCTTAAAATCCCTGTGTGGTGGCGGCGTGCCGTTCTCCCATCCCTCCCTTGGGTTCTCTGTTTTCTTTTTTTCTTTCAAGTGTGTGCACTCACTCACACTCACTCACGTACGTCGTGTGCGTGTCTGGTGTTTCTTAGCTCCGAGTAGAGGGGGCGTTCCGCCGCTAGGGGACACCCCGCAAAGCGCAGAACCAACCCTCGGAGAACCGATTGTTTATCCTTTACGGCCCTTTCCCTGCGAACGCGCACCCCCCAGGGCTAGGGCTCTCTCGCCCGTAACCCGATATCGATCATCCGGCTCGCTGGGTGCGCTTCTTAGCTCCCCGGCCCTGGATGTGAGGCTGCCGACTGCACTCCAAGACTCCAAGTGCTCAAGTGCACATTTGGTGCTATTAAAGAAGTCCGTGGTAGTACGGTGGTAGAACACTAACCGCACCGGACTATTTCAAAAATTATCACGTTTGGCGTTGGGGTGCGGGGGACGATGTGATCGATGACGATGACATGTACGTCAGAGTCGGCGGCCGGGACACCCCACCCCCCAACTGTTCCCTTGACGAACGGCGAGGCGCGAGGGCGTGTCTCTCGTGACACGGCGGTGGATGGTTCATGAACAATACGCGCTCCGCCAACCACTCAGCGCGCGAAGTAATACTCGGCGTGTCCGATCTTGCTGAGCTGGTCGTAGTAGACGCCCCGGCGCCCATCTGGCGTGACCACATTCTGCAAGTAGTAGAGGTGCTTCATCTCTCCGCCGCAGCAGAGCGGGCAGATGGCCTGCCGCCGGTTCCAGTTCGAGCCGTCGGGGCCGTGGCCTTCTGGCTCCTGTGTCACGACGGGACGGAAGGGGATGGCGAGTGCGAGCGTGTGAGAGGTGCGGGTGGAGCGTCTCCTGCACGCACACCTGCACCATGTCGCACGCGATGCAACATTCGGGCACCTTAAAAAACGGCGGCAGGCAGGGGATGCAGATGCAAAAGTTTAACTTGACGCTGATCGTGGCCTTGAGATAGTCCTCCGTGAACTGGAAGCCGTCTGCGGCGGTGCGGGCGGGTGCCGAGGGAGGGTCGGAAGAGGGGGGGGCGGTGGAGGGCCAAAACGCACGCACAGCTCTGGTTGCAGCAGCGGTTGAAAAAGGGACCAACTCCGTTCTCGAAGAAGTTGTTCCCGCCCGACCACTGCGCCGCGCTGTACAAGCCGCCGTATCCGCCGTAAGTCTTGATCAGGCCGGACTTTGTTTCCGCGTCAAATTCCATCCAGCGCTTGGTGAGGACCGTCCCGGTGATGCCGCCCTCCCCTTCGATCATCACCCCGGCCAGCATCTTGGGGAGTTGGGGCGACGCCAGAGTGAGAGGGGAGAGGCGGTACCAGATTGGGAGGGGTGAGGGGGGTGCGCCTTGATCTCCTCGGTGTCCTTGATGCCGTTTGGCACCCGCGGGTAGGCGTCGTCACAAAAGCAGAGCGCCTTGCCGCAGGCGGAGGGCGGCACGTGTGCGCGCGTGTCTGTGAGCATCCACTCGTTCAGCGCATGCAGGGGTCCGTCCCCGTCCGGTGCAGCGGGCAACGGCAGAGCGCTTACACACCAGCATCGCTCGGGGCAGCAGTTGAGGTCATGCCCACCTCCTTTCGCCTTCGAGACGTCTCTCACTTGCGGCGACTGCTCGTGGCCTCGCTCTGCACGCCGCAGGCCATTCACGTATTGCAGGCTCGGCGGTGGCACGGCAGGCTTGGCAGCCACTGGGGCGATCGCGGTGCCGGAAGGGGGCATCCCGATTGTCGTAGGATAGTGCAGTTGCTGCCGCGCAAAAGCCAGGGTGGCATCGAGGTACCGCCCGTCGATTGATCGATTGGATTGTAAGTTTGAGGGGTCTGAGGGGTGTGAAGAAAGAAAGAAAAGCCGATGTTCTTCTTTTTGTCATCAAGCGTGTTCGTCAAACTTGAGCCCTGGGTTTCAGGCTTGGCTCGTTCGCAAGGTTCTGGGTGTGGCTCCAACGCTACGCTCGCAACCCCAATGACGTCGCTGCAACCCACTGTCGACGAAGCGCACCGCTTCATCCCCGAGTACCGCGGCGAGTGCCCGCAGGCGGGGCGGTATTTCGACTCGCAGGCCGCCATCTCGAACGGCATACACGCTCTCTGGGACCGGCTCTTTGGCAAAGAGGCGGTCGCGGCGCTGGACGACCACCCACGCGAGGCGGCCTACTTTGCGACCTGCTCGCTCGCGATGGTGGTCGCGCTCTACGCCTCGCGCTCGGTCCTAAACGCGGTGTGGCCCGACTTTGCGAAAATCACGCCGCGCCACAAGCAGATGTACGTTCTGATGAACCTGATGAAGTCGCTGCTGCTCGGCGCTCAGGCAACCTCCTTCTCGTGGCTCTGGTACTCGTCCAAGGAGTACGGCTGCACGCTCAACCCGCTCGGCTTCAACTTGAGGCGACGCCTCCATCCCCTCCCCCTCCTCTGCCTCTCCCGCCGCCTCTCTCTGCCTCCACTCCTCCTGTCTCCGCCTCCGCCCGTCCCATTACACGCCCCTAGCGCGCACGCACCGCGCGCCGAGAGGCCCCCGGCGCCCGACCCGTCAGCTGCAACTGGAGCGTCGACGCCGGCCACCACGCATACCTCAAGCAGATCTCGCTGCTGTACGCCGCGGTCGACATCGTCGCGCTGGCTGTCGTGCACAAGCTGCCGCTCACGACCAAGATCCACCACTGGGCGGTCACGGCGTGGCTGCTCTGGGTGATGACCATCGACTTTGGCGAGTCGCCCATCGCGCAGAAGCTCATGTTTTACGGCTTTTGGTCCACGCTCGCCTTCCCCGTCAACGGCGAGACACAGCCGCAAGGAGCCACACGGAGCCATATCGCGCGCGCCACCAGCCAGCCCTGCCGCCCGGTGCCGTAGGCTTCCTCGGCCTGCGCGTCACATCGCCCGGCTCGTGGTGGATGCGACCCCTCTCCCGCGGCTGCTTCGTCCTCTACGCGGGCTGCTGCTTTTGCAACT